CTCCAACTTAAAACAAAACAAACAATTAAAAAAACTAGCTGGATGTGGTGGTGCCTTAGCTATTCAAGAGGATCACTTGAGCCAAGTTCAAGGCTGCAGTGAGCTGTGATCATGCCACTGCACTCCAGCCTGGGTGACAGAGAGAGAGAATGATCACATATAACCTCTCTTCCTCCACCACTCATGCACTCTTGTGCATGTTTTTATTACACACACACACACACACACACACACACACACACACACGGAAAAAAGACTTACCTCCCCTTAGTGGACACTATGGCAATCCTGCCTGCTTTGGGCACTGGCACTCATTCCTTCCTCCCACTCCTAGGTGCCCTGAGAGAATGTTTCTCACCATGGGGAGGGGGGCAGTTGGATTTTGCAGCTTCCAAAATGCATTGCATTGGAATAGAGTGGGGTATTTCCTTTCATGGTCATCAACTATGGTGCATTAGGGTGCAGGGGGATGCGGGAAGGAGAGACACTCACGCTGCTCGTGCCACATGGAGTTTATAAGAATTTATAAGCAGAGAAGCAGCAGAGCACCCATGATCTGAGCTCTCATATTCTTTAGATATCTGTGTCTAAGATAGCATTCAGAAGAAAGGGAAACCCACCCTCCGAAAACTCTATTTAGGTGAAAATGGGGGCGGGGGTGTGATCAGAGAATACAGACAACCATGTAATTGTGGAAGTAGCCCAGTTAAGGAAGTGGTCTTGTTAGAAAGGGGAGCCTCTGGAGTCACAGAGCTGGTGCCAGCCTCTTCTTCCTTTGAGCTCACTCAGATCTGTAGAGCCTGCTAAGCCACTCAAGGGAGTAGGTAAGGAGCTTCTAATCCAATCCAATCTGCCTTTTTTTCAACCCTGTGGCAAGTAGAAAGAAGGCGTAATACAAGATTAAACTCTAAGTGTCAATGTCAGGAAAAATGAAGGCTGAAAATTATCTAGATTGTTTAAAAACCTAGAAAAACAAGACAATAAAATGGATTGCCTAATCCTGAGTTGGATGTTGGATCGGAAAAACAAATCACTAGAAAAGAACATTATTGAGCTGGGTGCGGTGGCTCACACCTGTAATCCTCACACTTTGGGAGGCCAAAATGAGAGGATTTCCTGACTTCAGGTGTTCAAGACCAGCCTGGGCAACTTGGTAAGACCTCGTCTCTACAATAAATAAAAAAATTAGCCAGGCATGGTGGCGCATGTCTGTGGTTCCAGCTACTTGGAAGGCCGAGGCAGAAGGATCACCTGAGCCCAGCAGGTCAAGGCTGCAGTGGCCATGAGTGTGCCACTGCCCTCCAGCCTGGGTAATGGAGTGAGTATCCAACTCAAGAAAAAAAAAATGTGTATTTATTCTTACTTGTTTCAACTTCAGTCACCTTCAAAGTGCTTTCCTTTTGGTACAATCCACCTATCAAAACACTCTTGTCACCACTCAAAACAGTTTTTGAACTTGTCAATTTTGATGCCTTTTAATGCTTTTGCCATTTTTAATTTCACCTCTTTCACATCAGCAAAACACTTTCCTCTGAGGATGTTTTTCATCTGGGGAAACAAACAAACAAAAGTCGCTCGGGGCGAGATCAGGTGAACAGGGAAGGTGGAGCATGGGGGCCATGCCATGTTTTGGTCAAAAACTGCTGAACACTCAGTGTGGTGTGGGTAGGTATGCCCATCAGTCACTCATGAAATGGGCAAACGTGTTGAAAGAATCTCCAAAAAAAATCAACTGAAGCTGAACGCAGCCTCTCACAGCAATGCTAGCTGGCACACTGATGCTGATGGGTTTCTCCCCTTACCTAGTGGGGAAGCCTGTACTCCAAGAGGCCTGCCCTCCAAAACATAATTCCAATTTTTTTTGAGGGGGAGGTCCCCTGTCATATACAACCTGTTTTCAAATGGTTCAGGAAACACAGAGACACAGGAAAGGGAAGAAAGGGGGGACGATAAAGCAAATACTATAAAGTAGATGTAGCCAAACTGGAGAATCAGAGTGAAGGTAGACCAGAGTTTTGTACTAGTCTTACAGCTCTTCTGTAAGTTTAAAATTATTTCAAACTAAAATATTTTTTTAAAAGACTGTAGTAGATATATTTGCTAACACAGATTTCTCCCCGACTGGTAAGTCAACAAAGCAAGGTGCTGAGGAGTATGCACGCCCCACTTATGTCCAAATGGTTAAAAAACAAAAACACACATGTATGCTCAGGCTACACAAAGACATTGAGAATACTCATTCTTTGAAGTGGATTGAGAAATATCCCACATCCTCCTTGCTCAGCTGCTGTGCGATGTTAAACTCTCCCCACAGAACTAAACAACACCACCAACAAAAAAAACACCTCGTTTTTGACACCTGGAAAAGGGATCCTGGCCCTAGAGGTACCATCTCTTGCAGCGGTTTGATATGTGTGGTGTATTTACAAGGTGTCTCTTGACCTTCAGTTAGGGTTCTGCAGGACTTGAATCCTGTGCTTTGCTCCTTCAGGCAGGGAAGTTCTCCCAAGTCCTTTCTCCCAAGTCCCAGGTTCTCCTAATCAATAGGGGTTTTTAAAGTTTTATTTTATGTTTGATGCTGGTAAGTAAAAATATGATTATCTTATTATATTGATATTATATCCAGAAGCTTTTATAAACTTCCTTAAGTCTAATTTTTACATAGGTTCTATGGATTTTTCTATACATAGAAAACATTTCTATACATCTCTTTACATAGGTTCTTTGGATTTTTGGATACAAGCTATCTGCAACAAAATCTGTTTCTTTCCAATCTTTGTGTTTTATCTCTTACCTTCTTAACTAGTAAGGACCCCCAGTAAAATGTTGAATGAAAGTGTGAATAATAAATATCCCTAGCTCATTTCTTTCTTTCTTTCTTTCTTTTTTTTTTGAGTTAGAGTCTCACTCTATTGTCCAGGCTGGAGCGCAGTGGGACGCTCATGGCCACCCCAGCGTCAACCTGCTGGGCTCTGGCTATTCTTCCGCCTCAGCCTTTCAAGTAACCAGAACTACAGACGCGCTACCATGCCTGGCTAATTTTTTGATTTATTGTAGAGATGAGGTCTCACCAAGTTGCCCAAGCTGTTCTTGAACCCATGGGCTCAGGCAATCCCTTCACCTTGGCCTCCCAAAGTGTTGGGATTACAGGCTTGAGCCACTGCGCCTGGTCAGCTCATTTTCTTTTCTTTTCTTTTTTTTTTTTTTTGAGTTGGAGTCTCACTCCATCGCCCAGGCTGGAGTGCTGTGGCATACTCACAGCCACCCCAGCGTTGACCTGCTGAGCTCCAGGGATCCTTCTACCTCAGCCTTCCAAGTATCCAGAACTACAGGCGAGCGCTATCATGCCCAGCTAATCAGCTCATTTCTTAACTCAGAGAGAAAGTTTTATTCATCATTAAGCACAATGTTTGCAGGCATCATTTTTTGAGCATTATAATCATGAATGGATAGTGAGTATGATCGGATGTTTCTGTAGTTATTGAGGTGATGAGATTTTTCTTCCTTATGTTGTTATTGCTAACTACAGATTATAGTTCATATTAAACCAATCTTCTATTCCTCAGACAAATGCATTTTGTTTGTGATATAGTCATTATTGTCATGAATTGTTGGATTCTATTTGTTAATTTTTCGTTCAAAATTTTTGTATCTGTGTTCACAAGTAAGATGACCTGTGTGGCTGGGCTCGGTAGCTCAGCCTGTAATCCCGCGCCTTTGGGAGGCTGAGGTGAGTGGATTGCCTGAGCCCGCGGGTTCGAGACCCGCCTGGGCAGGCAAGATCTCATCTCTACAATAAATCAAAAAATTAGCCAGGCATGATAGCGCACGCCTGCAGTTCCAGCTACTTGGAAGGCTGAGGCGGAAGGACCGCCGGAGCCCAGCAGGTCGAGGCTGCGGCGGCCAGGAGCGGCCACTGCACTCCAGTCTGGGCGACAGAGTGAGACTCCAACTCAAAAAAAAAAAAAGATGACCTGTGTGCTAATGTTCTGTGCTGTGGAACAAATGACCAAACTTAGTTTAAAACTAGACATGGTTTAGCTGGGATCTCACACTGCATTTAGTTGTCAAGTCTTTTTCAACTCCTTCAACCTGACACAGTTCTATTTATTTCCTTGACTTTCATGAACTGATGTTGCACGTCCAATGTTTCCTCACAATTAGATTCACATTTTGCATTTTAGGTAGGAATATCACAAAAG